ACCTCTGCGACACACCCAAAAAAGTTGGCTTTTCCAGCAAGCTGGCCTAGCCTGAATAGAATAAAATATAGGATTAATTTGTTTGTTAATTTTAATTTAATTTTTAAATTTTTATTGTAAATATCAATTGGGGGGGGGGGGGTTGGATACTTTATTTAATGTCCCTTTTAATTTTTTTAATATGTGTTTTCTTTTATGTTGTACGCCGCCCTGAGTCCTTGGGAGAAGGGCGGCATATAAATCCAATAAACCTAACCTAACCTAAAACAATCAACTTGCCAGGAAAAAAATACACAAAAGATCTGCAGACCCAAATTCTACTTGAAAGAGAATGTATGTAGGTGGTATTATTATATTCTATTGCAATGTTTCTCAAGGTTTTTAACTTTGAAGATGGGTGGACTTCAACTCCCAGAGTTCCCCACCCCAGCTGGGGTGGGGAATTCTGGGAGTTGAAGTCCAGCCATCTTCAAAATTAAAAACCTTGAGAAGCATCATTCTATATCAATTTAGTAGCTTTTTACTGGTAGAATGAAGTGGATTTTTTCCCCGTTTCTGCTATAATTTTGCATCAGTGAGGTTAAAACCAATTTCGTTGTATTTAAGTACAATGACAATAAAGATAATACTTATACTTATTCATATAAGAGATTGGGCAGCCAATGTTTAATTTGGTATCTTGTGTCACACCCAGCCAAGAAAACTGGATTAGTTCACTTAAATAATGCAGCCCCTCGTGGCATTTGACATCAACTCCCAGAATCCTTTGCTGTTCAGACGGGTCCCCCTAACCATGAGTTCTGTCGCCCTTTTCGCGTCAGGTGGCAAAAGGGGCGAGACAGGAGATCTTGACGCCTCACCAATCAGAACCCTGAACTCTTAGATTTCGAGCCAATCAAAGTTCGTCTTGCACTTACCCCCTCCCCACACACACACACCCTCTCTCCTTTCTAATCCTCCGGCCAATAGGAGTAAACCTAAATTACGTCATTTCTCGCAGGCGTCCTCCAGGAGAAAGTAAAGGTCCCTGAGGGCGTTTGACAAATCAGATTCCCGCGTTCAGATCCTGGAGCCCGCCCTCCCTCTAGCTTCCCTCGTTCCTAAATCATCCCGCCCTCCGAGACCCGGAGCCAATGTACAACTTCGAAGCCGCGCTTTCCTCCTAGGTGACAAAGGTTTCATCCAATGAGTTTTCAGCCTGCCTCTACCATTCCTCCGCGCCAATGTTTTTCCCGGAGGACGAATATCCTCCAATCGGCGCAGGGCGCCGAGCGCGTGACGTGCCTTCCAGCCAACAGAACGCCGAGCAAGGAAGTGAGCGATTGGCGGGGCGACCAATCGGCGCCGTCCGCCTTTGTGAGGGAAAGTGGTGGCGTGGAAGGTTCGCGAAGCCGCCGACGCCATCGCGCCCCTCCGTCTCGGCTCTCCGCCTATGGCGACCGGGGCCAACGCGACGCCGCTGGGGAAACTCCATCCGCCCCCGCCGCCGGGCAAGGCCGGCTATCCGCTTCCTCCTCCCGGATTAGTGATGCAAGGCCCGCCGCCTCCGCCGCCACCTCCGGGCCCCGCGCAGGCCCAGCCTCAGCCGGCCATCCCGAGCCTCATGGCGGCCGCCGGGTTTCCCTTCGCCGCGCTGCCTCCGCCTCCTCCTCCACCACCACCTCCTCCGCCGCCTCAGCAGCCCCAGCCGCCCCCGCAGCAGCCTCAGCCGCCGCCTCCGCCTCCTCCGCAGGCCCAGCAGCCTCAACCGGCCCAGTACGGCCAGTACCGCTTCCCTTCGCCCCCGCCGCCCCAGCAGCCCATGGGCCTCGAGCCGCAGCCGCCGCCCCAGCACCTCCACCTTCTCCAGCAGGACGACGGCGGCCAGGCCGGGGCAGGCAACTCAGGCAAGTGGGGGGGGGCTGTATTGGGGGGGGGGCTACCCTGATCGCATCTGGGTATTTGGATGAGGTGGTTCTGCATTACTGCCTTCTGGGCATTTTCCCCCTTTCTCGTTCTGATCTATGACGGTCGGCTGGTCTAGTGGTCACTCATTGCAAGCGCCAAACCTCCTTTGACCCGGCTCCTTTTTTTGTTCTTTTTGAGGGCGATTTGGTACTTTTATGCAGACCGAAAAGTGCATTTGAGGCCCTTCCTATTTCTTTTCCAAAGCATCCTAAATCAGATACATTAGACCAGTGTTTCTCAACCTTGGCCACTTTTTTAAGACACGTGGACTACAACTCCCACCATGCTTGAAGATGGGTGGACTACAACTCCCAGTGTCGCCCAACATGCTTGAAGATAGGTGGATTACAGCTTCCACCACCACCCCCCACACACACACAGCCAACATGCTGGAAGATGAATTGACTACGACTCCCAGCATCCTCCAGTATGCTTGAAGATGGGTGGACTACAGCTCCCACATACCCAGCCAGCATGCTGGAAGATGAATTGACTATGACTCCCAGCATCCTCCAGTATGCTTGAAGATGGGAGGACTACTGTAACGCGCTCTACATGGGGCTGCCCTTGAAGAATGTTCGAAGACTTCAGTTAGTCCAGAATCCAGC